CGGACAACAGGTGCAGCACCTCCAGGATCAGCAGACCCCAAAACTCCCACCAGTGCTGAAGCTGCAGCATTGAAGAAGTGGAAAGCCGGTGATGCGAAGGCGAGATGCCGAATCGAACTCGCGATCAGCGATTCCGAAATGGTTCACGTTATGGGAGCCGAAACGGCACGCCAAATGTGGGAACAACTTACCACGGTCAAGGAATCCAAGGGCCGACTCGGAGTGTTGGCCACCCGCCGAACACTATATCGGGCGACGGCGGAGGAAGGATTTGATATGGCAGAGCATATCGCGAAGCTACGCCAGTTGCAGGAGGAACTGCACACAATGGGTAGCAAGATCTCGGATGAGGATTTCGTCATGATCCTTATCACATCCCTTCCCGAGTCGTGGGATAATTACACTTCATCTTATCTCGGATCTAGTGGCAATAAGCCGGAGCTCAAATCTCAAGAGCTCGTAGCAATTTTATTGGAAGAATCCCGACGACGGAAGGAGCGAGAAGTTGGAGGAATGTCACTCCAGGCCAAAGGAAAGGCCAGACCCAACATTGAATGCCATAATTGCCACAAGATGGGGCATTATGCAAAGGACTGTTGGGCAAAAGGGGGAGGACGCGAAGGAAAAGGTCCGAAGACTCGAAAGGGTCCGAACCGGGCCGGCCGGACGAATCAAGCCAAAGAAAAGGTCAACGACGACCTTAACGAGGTTTCGTACATGGCTATCTCCAATGCCAGTACAAAAGAAATCTCAAAATATGATTCGGGCACAACTCCAGGGCACAACATCTCACATTGACTATCACCCACTCAAGAACTCGTCTGTACCCGCTCAAGAACTCGTCTGTTCACGGCGTGGGTTCCCCAACAGTGGCACAGGGCCGCGGGACCGTATTAGTCAAATTTTCCGTAAACGGGAAAAACCTGAAGCATCGATTACGCGATGTCCTTCACGTGCCAGATTCCCCGAATTGTTTATTGTCCATGAGCGCACTCGATCGGAGTGGTGGACATGCAGAATTCAAGAATGGGAAATGTTTCCTAAGAGATAAAGTGATAGGACATTTAACCCATGATTTATACTTGCTCGAGGCACGAGCAGTATTACACGAGCAAGAGCGAGCAAATCTCGCTACCTCGGCAAAGCTCTCTTGGGACCAATGGCACCGACGGTATGGCCATCTATCAATTTCGTCCCTACAGAAGCTCGATCGCGAGAATTTGGTCAATGGCATGACCATTGATCAAGCTTCTATCCCATCAAAGACTTGCGAAGCTTGTATTCAAGCCAAGCAAACTCATAAACCCTTTCCCAAGGAAGCGGAGAATCGTTCGGAGACTCCGGGGGAGAGGATAATGA